AGAGCTTGTTAGTAATTTTAGAGTTGTTTCCCCTACTTAAATGATTAAAATTGATTAATGAACTAATAAAATAAATTGGATAGAATAGGGTGAAATCAAAATCCCTAGTAGTTTTAAATCCTTGATTTCTTTAATCAATAATTGCCTGCTTGACTTCTTCTTATTTTCACTTATTGAATTTAAATTATTGAAACAATTTCCTCATTTATCGTTTAAATAATAATAGGTTAACATAATTTTGGTACTTGGTATACAATACTCGTGGGAATGATATTCTACTCATCATATATTACTTGTGGCGATTTCGTACACTTGCGAAAGCATTGTCATTTTCTCTTGTGATTTATCAAACTTTTCCTAATTTGATGGAGTAATAGATATTAGAAGAGAAAAAAAATATATATCAATGTCGAAAAGAAATTGTATAAGATTTATTGAAATGCAAAAAAAAAAAAAAAAAAAAAAAAAAAAAAAAAAAAAAAAAAAAAAATTGATGTTACCAAATCTCAAAGAGCGCTATCTATTTATAATTTAGTAATAATCAATTAATGACAATTCATATATTATCATTAAAACTAATAAAGACAACTATATGTTGCAATTTTAAGACAAATAACTATTGGTTTGAGATAAATGATAATTTGGTCAAATTACCCTTGAGTTTATTATAATTTAAGAAAATTAATTGTTTCCTTAATCCTTTGGACAACAACCTTAGACAACTTATATTTTGAGACAGAGGGAGTATTATTTTAACATCAACTACATATACAAGCCATTATAACTATAGAGGAAATGCACTTTCTCATCAAGCCCTAAACAGCCTTTGGCAAAAGCCAACACATTAATTGGCAAGAAATCTTTCTATACATACTAATAGATAAAAGCCAAATAACTAATTCTTATGTATAGAGTAAACTAGCAACATGTTTGTGCTATGTACAGTAAATATCTTTATCTATACTCTTAGAAATATTATGATAATATATTAAAATACATAATTTAATTTAAAAAATTTATAATTTAAATTATTTTTTAATTTTAATTTCCATATTTATGTAATTTTATTGAAAATTAATAAAATAAAGAACATTTATTTCAAATTCAAACATTAGACTAATTATACAAAATTAATGTTTAAAATAAAATTGAAAGAAAAGAAATTAATATATTAAAAATTCATTGATTTTAATTTATTTTTTGAATTAATTATTTTTGAATTAATAAATTTTCTTAGGCTATATTAAAATAATAAAATAAATAAAATAAAATAGACAATAGAAACTCAATCATAGACATATATATATTATTCTTAATGATAATTTCCTACCGTTTTCTCTTGTGATTTATCAAATTTTTCCTAATTTGATGGAGTAATAGAAATTAAAAGAGAAAAAAATATATATCAATGTCGAAAAGAAATTGTATAAGATTTATTGAAATGCAAAAAAAAAAATTGATCTTACCAAATCTCATGAGAGCGCTATCTATTTATAATCTAGTAATAGTCAATTAATGGCAATTCATATATTATCATTAAAACTAATAAAGACAATTATATGTTGCAATTTTAAGAAAAATAAATATTGAAACGTTTGAATATACATCGTTAATAAAACTAATAATAAATATTTTCATCATTAATCTTCTCTATCATTCTTTTAAATATAAAATTTTCATTCATAATAATAAATGATAATTATGATTGATTATAATGATATTCAATAATTCAATATCAATATTATAATATTCTTACTTCAAAAGATAAGTTATAATACATATTAATATGATATTCAATGTCAAAATTCTGAATACATTTAATTAAATTAGGTTATAATATTATAATAATTTAATTATTTATCGCATATTCATATGATAATTAATAACATATTAAAACCAATATTAATTATTTTAAATTGAGAAAGATAGATTACAATAACTATAATATAGTTATAATTATTTACTTATATGTATTAATTATGATAATTGAATGATAATTAATATCACATATTTTATATAACTATAACTAATAATTAAATTCTATGCGGTATTATCAAAATTTAAGAGTCCATGTGACATTTTAATTATATGTGTCATCAACAAAAATTATGTGGCAAAGAATAGGGGAAGAAATTCATTTAAAAAAAATGTCACATTCCAACTTCTTGGGAAAAAAAATTACTTGCTTTAATATATATATATATATATATATATATTTAATATATATATATTATATATATATTATATATACTATATACTAGTCTTTTTTTATATATAGTACTAGTCTTTTGTATGATGTGCGTTGCACGTTGACAATGCTCATTATATTTTCATTTTTTATACGCTTTTAATTTTTTTGTCTATATAATATTAAAGCATAAGTTTTTGTTTAGATTAAAGTAAATACAATTGATTAATTTGTATTAGATTTTATCGTATAAGCTACTTGCAATACTATTTTTTTATGTACTTAATTCTATTTTATATAATGAAATGATCTCAAAGTTCAATACATCCCTAGGGATGGCAAAATCAGCTCGACCTGATGGGTATGCACCTGGCCTAAACCCAGTCAAACCCGATTTTTAGAGTTTTGACTGAATTTGGGTAGGGTTTGGGTAAAACCCAAAAGTTTCATTTTGGATATGGATAGAGTATGGGTATTGTTATTATAAATCCAAATCTGATCCCCAACCTGACCCGATCTTTTGGGTTGAATAATATCCAAACCCGATACCCAAACCCTCAGAGGTTTGAAAATTAATTATTTTCTTCAAATTGTAGTATGAAATATTTAATAAAGAAAAATAATTGTAATATGAATAATTTTGAGTTAATTTGAATAATTTAAATTATTTTCAATAATTTGAATAATTCGAATAATTTAAATTAACTTGAATAATTTAAATTTATTTAAACAATTTAATTGAATTTTTCAAATTTTTTTAAATTTTAGATATTTTTTAAAAAATTAATTTAGTTCAATATTTAATATTTCATTAAATAATATCTATTTTTAATTTTTATATTTTATTCTGATATATTGATTCCATTGTAGTTTGAATTTACTAGTTGTGTAGAGAAAACAAAGGAGACTCTAACCAAGGAATTTTTTTCAATTTAATTTTATATTTTATTCTATATATTATTCATTGTAGTTTGAATTACTATTTGTTAGAAGAAAACAAAGGAGACTCTAACCAAGAAGAATTTTTCAATTTCTCCCAAAAACAAAAACACTTTATCAAAAGCTTCAACATAAGTAATAGTTAGAATAGAGAGTTAATTTATCAAATATTTCAAAACAAGTGGTGTCAAGTCATCCTCGCCTTTTTTGATTTATCAGTTGAAGATTCTACTACTATTACCCTTCAGCACTTCATAAAAATCTTATATCATTTAAAAAAATAATTTAAAAAAAAAAAAGAAAGAAAAAGCTACAGGATGTCTTTTAAGCCTATCTAGTAAACTAGTTGTTTCTTTAGTATTTTCAGTATGAATGGCTAAAAGTTGGAGAAACATTGAATATAATGTGGGAATAATATAAATATGTAAATTTGAAAAAATTGAAATAGGAATAATTAAACCTATCCTACCCCACAACTTATCAAGATAAAGATTCCAGTTAGTGTGCACTATGATTATTTTATACTCTCAATTAGAATGCATAAAATTCTCTCTCTCTCTCTCTCTCTCTCTCTCTTTATATTTTTTTTTCTTAAATGGATTATTAATTAAAACTAAATACATTACCACTAAACACAATATAAAAATTATTATGCTTTTTATGATTATCAAACAACATAATTCCGTTGTCGTCCAGCGGTTAGGATATCTGGCTTTCACCCAGGAGACCCGGGTTCGATTCCCGGCAACGGAAACTTTTTTAAGCACCGGTTTCCTACCCGAATTAACTGCCACTAGTACATTTGATTTCATTTCATTGCCACTTTTTATTGAACGTATTCTAATTATTGCACTTAAAAAATCATATTACAACTTTTAAAAGCCAGCTACATGAAAAGAAGAAAACCATATTACCATCTCTTCAGTGAACTGCTCTTCTCTCTTATATAACCTCTCTTCTTCCCCCATTTCAAACCGGCACACCGGACAAGTTTTCCGGCACAAATTGAACCATCTATCAATACATACCTTATGAAAAATATGCGAGCAAGGAAGATTACGCATCTCCTCTCCTCTCTTCAGTACCGATAAGCAAACACAACAAATTTCGCCCTCTATCTTGAACTGAGTTGACTCGCTCGACTTTATCTCTTCAAGAGACTTAACTGCATCCTTCTTAGCATTCTCCGAAACATCCAACGTAGTAGTTCCTCTGAATGATGTTACATCTTTAATGCTTAGCTGCCTCCTTAGACCAATAAAATTGTAAATAAAGGAAGCCAATTTTCTGAAGACCATTTGATTTTCTTAATGGATGATTAGCATTTCTATTATATCTTTAATAAGAGGAGTTAAGCAAAGATGATGGTGTGTGCAAGTTATGGTTTACTTTTTTTTTTTTTATTTGTAGTTTTTTTGAGTGGTTTTGAAGAATTGTTAGATACAGAGAGACGATTTTGAGTTTCCAACAAAAAGGAGGTTGTACCAAAACAAGAGTGTTACTCTTCACCTTTTCATATTAGTAAATACCTACCACCTTCACCTAGTAGTAGTCTACTTGGCTTCATTCTTTCGCTTAGCAGGTTGTCTTCCAAGTCATAAACCTGCAATTATTTCAGTACTAACTATATTATCTACATATAATTTGTTAATGTATAATCTTCAAAAATATGATAACCCGGAAATCCAGAATGAGATTTTTTTTCTTTCAGACCATCTTTCTATGATATATTATTACAAATAGCAGCACAACCTTCATGGTGAGATATCATTCGCTCGTTAAACATTCTTAATTGCTTGAAATTAAGATAGTTCGGACTCAGGAGTTTAAGAGTTTTATAAAACATTCTTGATTTAACAAAACAGAGTGTTAGAACAAACTGAATGCTGTTCAATTGGGTTCCTGAATAGTAAGAATTATTGTCTGTCACCAACAAATGGTGCTCAAGAATGAACAAATACAGCCCTTTTTCTGTCAAGTTCTTATCAACACATCTGAATAACAAGAAAGTCTAATATCATTGTTTATATTTCAATGAATTAAATAGATGTGTATTAATTATTAACAGTTGAACTTCACTGCAGCTCAACACTTGATTGAAACCTCGAAGGTGTGGAGAAGATGATTTATGGCCTCTTAGAGACTGGTTACGATTCACATTTCTTTCCCCTTGTAATAGAACCTGGTTTGTCATGTTAAATTCTGTAAAAACTGAATTCATAGACTGAAATGAACAATTTCTTTCATATCAAGCATGGAAATACTAATTCTAAATCATCCATCAAACCTAAATAGCGCACCAGTTTAAGTCTACTAAAAGGATCTACCTCCTCCTCTTAGAATATAAACAACAAATTGGCAAAACCGTAATCCCAACTAGTTAGAGTCGACTGTATGGAACTGCTTCCTCATCTCAAAACATATGCTATAAAAACCTCAACAATTAAAATAGCAACAACAATCTCATCTCCACTCACCTTCCAATTCCTAAAGAACAAAGCTACTTCAAAAAAGAAAAGAAAGTTTACCTACATCAAAACATAAAATAAGCTCCTCACTGTTAAAAATCTAATAACAGACAAAATTTGAAATGCAAACAAAAGGAACCTGCTAGATTTGAAAGCCTTACTTCAACCATTCAAACCATTTTCTCACAATATGAAGAAATATCGGGTAGACAAAAGAAAATGACTTTGATCTTGCATTTCTTGAAAGAACAAGTTTATCAAATTCAAAATTACCTGTTCCTATAGCAAATACATTGTAATCAAATCTAAATTTGAGATTATTGACTACCTCATCATCACTCCTTACTAATAACAGATGAATCAGCAGCACCATCATTTTCAAGAATTTTTCCATCTCTTGGAACCAGGCAAGGAACCCCATCTTTTATCTATTAAAAGAGTACAAGCAAGAAAAAACATTCAAAAATAGAAAAAGAAAAACAAAAAGAAAAAAGAAGCGTAATATTACAGAAGATTTTAGCAAAACAATACCCATTAAGGAATTTTCAGTAGAAGGTATAAAATTTATCAGAATTTAGAACTTACAGGATAAGAGACACCAATAGCATCACTGATAAGAGAGTTCGTTTCCTCACAATACCTACCAAAATGAAAGATCAAAGCTTGATTTTGGAAATAGCCATGAAGAAGAACAAAAAAAAAAGGCAAGAAAAAGAAGATGAGATGAAAAATTGAGCACCTTAAGGGCTGCTTGGAGAGTGGGCAGACCAAAACTTCAAAGAGAGTCTTGTTAATTCCATTCCGTGCTTCTTTCAATAAGGCTCTGTTCAATCTCACCATTTTCCGTCCTAAACTTGTGATTTGCAGAGATTTTTGGTTGCAAGTATAAAAAGCCCTCTAAGTTCAAAACGCAGCATTTTGTTTCTTATGTTAGTTAATACGACAACGTTTTATTCTTGCGTTTTAGTCTATGTTATTACTTCATTCACCCCTTCTTCCTCCCATGAGACTGAAAAGAGTTCCCTTCCTCCATGAAAGCCGGAAAACTGAGAGCATTGGCATGCGTTAATGGCTAAAATCAGATCCCAAATGAATGGCAAAAATTTCAATGCGAGACCTCTTCCGAATCAGACTTGGAAACACCATTTTCACTCATCACCGCCGATCAATTCTAGTTTCTCCAAATCAAAACAATCTCTTTTTAGCTTCATATTCATATTCTTTCCCTTATGTCGAAGATAGACCGTTCTCTATTTATCATCCAAGCATTGAATTTGTCAAATTATGTCAAAACAGTGGACATCTCTTTCAAATTCAATCTCAGTTGATCACTTCTGGGCTTTTTCCCTTTTGGTCAGCCAAACTTCTAAAATATTATTCAGATTTTGGTGATATTGATTCCACCATTTCGATCTTTAAATACATTGATTCTCCTGGTCCTGTCGTCGTAAATAATGTTATCAAAGCATACTCGCTTAGTTCTATTCCACAACGAGCTTTGCTTTTCTATTTTGATATGGTGGCAAATGGATGCTTTCCAAATAGCTATACTTTTGTTTCACTCCTTAGTTGTTGTGCCAAATTAGGTTGCGCCAAATCTGGGCAAATGTGCCATGGGCAAGCTTTGAAGAATGGGGTTGATTCTACGTTGCCAGTACAGAACTCATTGATTCATTTTTATGGGTGCTGCAGTGCTGTGGAACATGCTACAAAGGTGTTCGATGAAATGTCTCAAAGAGATTTAGTCTCATGGAATTCTATTATTAGCGCCAATGTTAGCAGGGGTGATTTAGTTACTGCTCATAACATTTTTGAAGTAATGCTTGAGAGAAATGTAATTTCATGGAATATCATGATTAATGGGTACTTGAAAGTTAATAATCCTGGGTGTGCTTTGTCGCCAATGTTAGCAGGGGTGATTTAGTTACTGCTCATAACATTTTTGAAGTAATGCTTGAGAGAAATGTAATTTCATGGAATATCATGATTAATGGGTACTTGAAAGTTAATAATCCTGGGTGTGCTTTGTTGGTATTTAGGAAAATGGCAAATAGAGGATTGCAAGGAAATCTTAAAACTATGGTAGGTGTGATTCGTGCTTGTGGTAAGTCAGCCAGGCTGAGAGAAGGACGTTCTGTTCATGGGTATCTTATTAGGAAATGGAAGAGTTTGAGTATATTCATTTATACATCTTTGATAGATATGTATAGTAAATGTCGAAGGGTGGAACTAGCTTCGAAAATTTTTGATAGTTTGATGCATAGAAATTTGATTTGCTGGAATGCAATGATTTTGGGTCACTGCATTCATGGAAAACCAGAAGATGGGCTTAATTTATTTGCGGATATGGTAGAAGCTATCGAACCAGATGAAGTTACTTACATAGGAATTCTATCTGCTTGTGCTCGAGCCGGATTGTTGACAGAGGGCAGAAACTTTTTCAGCCAAATGACTCATAAGTATTGTCTAAAGCCAAATTTTGCACATTATTGGTGCATGGCTAATCTTTATGCAGGTCTTGGCCTAGTTAATGATGCAGAGAATGTACTAAGGAACATGCCAGTCGACAATGAGAATGTCTCACTGGAGTCGATTGTTTGGGCTAATTTGCTTACTGTAACCCGTTTCCAAGCAAATGCTACTTTGGGGGAAAGAGTTGCAAAATCTCTGATAGCTAAGGAACCTTGGAATTTCTCGCACTATCAGCTGTTAGCGAATGTCTATGCTGCAGCATCCAAGTGGGAAGATGTTGCTAGAGTAAAAGAGATGTTGAAAAAAGGACAGATGCGAAGAAATCCAGGGTGTAATCTTGTGGATTTGAAAAAAATTGTTCACGAGTATAGAGTAGGACATTGTTGGCAAGAGGGAATTGATGAAATGACCAGAATGATAGGTGAAGTGGCTGAAAAACCAATTTCATGAATTGCTGATTTAGAACAGCAATGAATGATGGTGTTGCAGGCTGGAACTTAGCCTCATGGTCTAATATACAGATGAGAAAACTAGGTAGTAACATTGATCCATTGAAAGAAAATGTCATGCGTTATCATCTGATCATGGAGACTGTTGTAATAAAATTTTTCTAGTTGATTGGCAAATATAGTGGTAGGTCATTTTTGAACACAGACAGAAGTTTTGCGTGCAAGTTCTTCAAGCAGACGCAGTTGAACTTGAGGAACCGTCAAATTTTGGCTATTACAAAAAAAGATTTATCTTTGAGTATTGCCAATAAATGCTTACTCGATATCTTCTCTCTTTCCCTAGTTGTCTTTTGATAAAGATATTTCGTTATGCTTATAGATACACTTGTTCAACTAGACCTCCTCCTAAGTTTGGCATACTTTCCAGATGCAAGTTCTAAGTGTGATTATAAACACATTCTAATTGCAAAACTGCATTTTTTTTTTCATAGCTCATTGGATGAAATCAGAATTATAAATCAAGTTTTAATTTAATTTATAAGCAACAGCACACAGGATCACAAGTCCCGCAAAATCCTAAAACTGCACAAATCGCTCGCAAGAACACAAGAGACTGGCATCAAAATTTTAGTACGTAAAGACCATGATTCATACAGGCAATTAACAAATTGTAGAAAAATTCCACCATGATTGTAGAGAATTATAGAGAATTAAGAATTTACCTACAATGATTCATAATAATTTCCTACATGCATGTATAACTGTGGAGGACAAAATACATGTAAAAGGCAAAGACCACTGAAACACATCTCGTGGATAACCAGCAGAGAGATTGATTACACGCCAGAGAATCCGAGCATTATTTACATTTAAATGTGCCCAGAAGTTCATAACAGTAATTGAAATGTGTCCACAAGTTCAGAACAATGAGTGAAGGGTTAGGTCTAATCACTGGTCTACAGATGAGATAAAGCAACAAAGTTTGTTTAGTATTTAACCACATAATCCACCCAAAATATTCCATAATTGCTGATTAAATATAGAACCACTTCATTCAAATGCCCATTGGTTCTCCCGACGAAGTTCTTCCTCCTCCTCAGGGGTAAAGTCATCCTTGATATTAAATATCTCCCGGATCTCATCAGGCGTCTTCCCCTTGATCATGTCTGCAACAGTCTGGCACGTCAGGTCCAGCAACCCCTTTATGTTCAAGTAGTTGGCAGCCTAGAAACATAATCAGATCACCAAATAAGAATTTTTGGCCAGGGCCAACAGCCAAACTCATATCAACCAGCCTATAAAATCAGACTTCATTTGAATGCATGTCAAAATCCAGAAAAAGAACCCCTTCTATGTGACAAATAAAGATTCGACATCATAATTTAGGAGGACAGCAGTTCTTCTCATCCCACTTACAGAAGTGATGCCAAATTTGTCCAAGAACACAGAATTAAAGCCAAACTTATGTTCACATGTTACATATCAAAACATCTATGACATAAAATAGAGCCCAATGCTAAAACATTAGTTGTGACAATTCAAAAGTTTAATGGTCATATGAAAACTATAATGCACTTACCCCTTCTATGTGACAAATAAAGATTCGACATCATAATTTAGGAGGACAGCAGTTCTTCTCATCCCACTTACAGAAGTGATGCCAAATTTGTCCAAGAACACAGAATTAAAGCCAAACTTATGTTCACATGTTACATATCAAAACATCTATGACATAAAATAGAGCCCAATGCTAAAACATTAGTTGTGACAATTCAAAAGTTTAATGGTCATATGAAAACTATAATGCACTTTAACAGTAATATAAAATAAACTTACGAGATCATTAATTACCAAAAACACTACCATCAAACCTTAATCCTATTATAGTTAGTAAAGGTATGCCTTAACTTAGGGCACCTCAAAACTTAGAGGCGGGCGACCTCACTAAGGCGCTTGCCTCTAGGCAGAGGCTCAAGCAAGGCAAGCCTCCCACCTCCCACCTCCCACCCCCCACCCCCAAAACCAAAAAACACATACACACAAAACAACCAAAGCCCAAACAGTCACCTAAGGATTTCCCTCAACATAATTATGTCCAGCTCGCATCTATTTACATAATAAGTAAATAAATAAAAGAAACAAAACATAATGCATAAACCAATGTTGCGCTCTGCAATCCAGCCTCCACTCCTCCATCCAGCATCTGCTCCTCGCTCACCTCCTGCAATCCAACCTCCTCTCTCTCTCTCTCTCTCTCTCTCTCTCTCTCTCTCTACTTCTCTTCCTATGTTTGCTCTCCATTTACTTTGTGTTTTTTTCTTTTTCCATATGCTGGCTTCTACTCCCTTCTGTCTTAACTCCTAGATCTTAAAATATAAGCCGTTGTGTTGCTGATCTTTTTCCTTAATTATGTTTTTCTGATTTATGCATGTCTTTGTTATTTTTCCTTTAGTATCTTTTAAATATAATTTTAGGTTTCATGTGTTTTTCCTTTAGTATCTTTTAATGTGATTTTAATTTTTAGTGTTCGATTGTCGTTTTAATTGTCGTTTAGTTTTTTACCCTCTTGCGCTCACGGTCACTGTAGACACATGCCTTCCCCGCAGTGGGCAAGAGCCTGGCGCTCCAGCAGCCATTTTGCACTTTGGTAGTGCATCTGTTTTACCTTTAAGTTGCCGTAGTTAAGTTCTATAGAGATACCGAAACCTCAATATGTCCAACAATGTAAAATAGTTTATGATTCACAGCCAGCAATCATTAACCTAAAAAAGAGATTTCTCTTTCATGGAATCATGAGCAACAATAAACAGACAATGACAAAGATGAAATTGGAAAGGTTATTTTTTACCTTTGCGCCTCACGTCACTTAGACACATGCCTTCCCCCATGGCAAGAGCCTGGGCTCCAGCAGCCATTTGCACTTTAGTGCATCTTTTACCTTTAATTGCTATTAATTCTATAGAGATACCATAACCTGCAATATTCCAACAATAAAATATTTATGATTCACAGCCAGCAATCATTAACCTAAAAAAGAATTCTCTTTCATGAATCATGAGCAACCAATAACAACAATGACAAAGATGATGAAAGGTTACATGCCCAGTACAAATAATGGCACAATAAATAAACTAATATCACTCCATGATTCAAGAAAATTTGTCACATGATACGACAGCTAGTCAATTCAAAAAGAATTGAACATTTAACAATTAATTCATAAATTCATAATTGTTTTCATATGAACACTTCGCAAATACAATCAAGATAACATTAGCTGTATGTTACACTTTATAACATAGAGTTATTATTTTACCAATAAGGTCTTCATGGGCTCCTCTACTAACCTATTGCAGTTTTACAACTTTGCTATTAACTTCAATAATGACTCGGACAAATGCACAACAACCATCTAAGAAACTCCAAGTTCATGTTTGGTATGTTGAGATCAATCTACAATTTCAGCCTTTCCTGTGGTCCCTTTATCCGTTCGTTTTCTCCCCTACCCTAACAATGTCTATCCCTTTTTTACTTCTTGCTTTACCTAACAATGCATATCATCATTGATCAATAAATGCCCTATTTTCCATTTTTGATATAAACTAGACCTTACATAGATCTATTTCTGGATAAAAAATTATGAAATAACTAAAACAAAACACCAAAATTAGCTAACATGATAATATATACTCATAAATTTCTGAACATACCTACCTAAAATCCCTTTGAAAAGAAGCCATAACTTAAATCAATCTAACTATACAGAAAAACGCAGAAGAAATCCTAAACATAATTGAAAAGGCCACAAATGAATCAAGAAGGAACAGATCTAACAAAAACGGCAAAAAAGAAAAGGGTGAAGTATCGACCAGAATGAGATCAAACAGGGTGGCTTGATCAACTTTGACAAACTCAGCGTCCCAGTTCTTAAGCTCATCATCTGCGCCGCCGTTGCTCCGATCATCGTACTTGGGAGTCTCGACGTGCTTCTTGCAGTACTCAATCACCTTAGCCAAGATCTTGCTTGTCACATTAGGCAGAGGGATTCCGTTATCGGCGCAATCATCCTCGATCATGGGCTTGATCGTTTGCGATTCCAAAGCCACCGCCTCATCCACCTCAAACGCCTCTCCATCGATGCTCTTCAGGGTAATCTTCTTTGACGTCGACATCGTTTTGGATGCAGCAATTCTCTAGACAATAGAAAACGACAACGAAAAACGAGCCTCCGTACGGTTCTCTGGCGTTATAAGGTTCAATTTCTCTGCCAGAAACCAAGGAAAACAAAATAGTTGGTGAACCGAAGAATCGCGATAATTTCAATTTACAGGGCGAGTGAAACAATTTGGGGTGAAGATGATCATACGTAGCATATTTTATTTGGGATAATGTACACCGTCTACGTGTCAATAAATTATTTGATTTTGTTTTTTTATAACAAATCAGATTTTTTTACAGGGATAATAGTAAAGAACTGGGCGTAATCGGTAAACGGATTATTATGTTTTGGACAATTACAAAATAACCCCTACTTTTGCCCTTTGTATACAATATTGTCCTTTCGTTCTTATTTTTTGTAATTATTCTTTGTATATTTTAAGGAAGAAACTGTTGAAAAAATGAGTTCCAGACGATCTAATTGCAATCTACAATTAAGAGTGCCTTTTAGATACTGCCACGTAAAGTGTTTGACAACTTTGCATTTCATTCGTGAACTGGCATGTGAAATTCACAGCAAAAGATAAATAAGTAATTTGCTTTTTAATTAAGTGCTTTTAACGGGTTTTCATTAATTTAATAAATTAAAACAGAGAAAGAGTTTTAATTGTAGCACATGATTTTATTTTCGACTATTGAGATTAAAAATAAAGTAAATTTAGTTTTAGAATTACAAAATTACAAATTATGATTTTAATTATATCTTAATTGATAAAACTTATAATGAATTGAAAATAAATATTACTACTGTTATTTTGAATTGAATCCCGATGGCCAATTCCATAGGTGATGTTATAAATAAATTTAAAATTATTAGTCAAATCCCCTTAAATGCATTCTTAAAAAAAAATAATAATAAAAATATACGATCAATAAATGGTCAAATTATTATATTTTTAATGGTCAAATTATTATATTTTTTTTCGGATCTATTACCAGATTATATAAAATAAAATATATACAATAAATAACATTGTAATAGTCACAAATTATATAAAATATGTCTTGAGAGGTAGGTCACAAAATAAACAACACTTACTGTTGGACTCTGTGCACAATTACCATTACACATTATAATGGTCACAAATTATACTTGAGAGAAGCCTTTTTCTCAGTAATTTCCTTAACAGTTTTTTCACCTAGAAGCACACTCACCACATCAGATATTGAAGGCCTATTGGAGGGCAATTTTTCAGTGCACAACATTGCCAAATCAATAATGGTGATGGCTTGGTTTCGTGTTGTTGATAATAGTTTCCCTGACGGACGCTCTTTCAATGTCTGATAGACTAGTTCTTCGTATATTTTTTGTTTATAACATTTATCGGCCTATATAAATGCAATACCTTATCAGAAAGCGATGCAAATTAATATGGAAATGCATATATATTAACATGGAAAAGGATGAATTTACCTTTTCCAAAAGATAAAAGCTACCGTTATGATCTCCGAGATTTTGATCAATCTTTATCCCACTAACAATTTCAAGAAGCAAGAGGCCCAAGCTATAAACATCAACTCTCACAGTTATGTTTTGATGAGATGCGTATTTGGGTGCCATGTACATTCTGCATATATGCAACAATGAGAAATTTTCTTGAAACTAATTTATCGAATAGAAGAATTTTGTGTTTTCTTAATACTTACAGTGTGCTTCCTGCTTTAGTGAACATAAATGGATCATCTTCCTCATAAAGTTTTGCCAATCCAAAGTCTGAGATTTTGGCCTCACAATTTCCATCAAGATGAATATTACTGGCCTTGGTATTTCTGTGGATGATGGGTGGCTCCTTTTTATGCAGATGTTCCAAACCGAGGGCTATTTGTTGGCAAATACTGTATCTAGTTTCCCAACTAAGTTGCAGAGAACGATTAGGACCTGCATGCAAATATAATTGAATCATCAAACTATTAAATTAATTTGAAATGGTAGCGAGGTCTTAGGATAAAAGAAAAAATATTACCAAATAAGACTTGCTCAAGGGATCCGTTATCCATATATTCATAAATTAGCAAATGAAGGCCTCTCTTTGAATAAAAATGGTAGCGAGGTCTTAGGATAAAAGAAAAAATATTACCAAATAAGACTTGCTCAAGGGATCCGTTATCCATATATTCATAAATTAGCAAATGAAGGCCTCTCTTTGAATAAGAACCTAACAGTTTAACAAGATTCTGATTTTCCAACTTAGACAATGCAAAAACCTCTGCTCTTATTTCTGCAGCTGCCTTTGATTGAGGGAAAAGCTTCTTCACCGCTAAGGTCAAATTCGACAGTTGAGCCTATAATATGGATAATGGAAGGAGAAGAAGAAGAAGAAAAGAAAAAGAAGAATTAATGTATGGACATGAGTAATTATTGCCAACATAAATAACAAAACAAAGTTCAACCCTGTAGACTATCCCAAAACGACCATGCTTGCCAATCTTCATTTTTGGGCTGAAATTTTTAATGGCGTCAATTATCTCTTTAATACTGTAAGAATCCGTTCCAAAATTTATGCGCGTTTCTGTATTCCGTTGCAAGAATCAAATCAAATAAGTTAATGAACAATTCTTTGCAAAATTGATGAACAATATTGAGGGATGGATGTTCTTAGTGTGCAGCTAACGGTTTTCTATCCTCCCATTCTCCACAAGAAAGCTAACAAAATGAACAGAGAAAGAACGCAAGCTATTGCAATTGCAAGAATTTCCCAAGCTGATAATTTTCTTGGAGCTTTAGAATCCAAAATGCAGTAGTAGTTATTAAGTGTAAAAAATAATGTTAGATCAAATAGAGGCCAATGGAAAAAAAAAGTTCAACATTATACCACGAGTTATAGAAATAGCTGAAATGAGAGGACCATTTTGACCCGTAACAGATCCCTTGCCAACCCAGAAGAAGTCTATTTGCAGAGCTTCATTGTTAGGTACTGTAGCCGTAAAAGTTTTTACAATGTTCTTATTGGCACCTCCAGCCTCTTTCTTGATGTTGAAATCCTGTAATACTCTCTCCCTGTAATCAAATTCAAGACCTCTATATTTGACCATTCACTTAATTTATATGAGAAAATTAATAATTTCAATCCCTTTATTACAAAATTACCTGAATATATACATCAAAAATGCGTTTGGCCACTATGCTGTGATCTTCCTTCTTAGAAAATAAAGTTTCAGCAAAATAAAGTTCGATCTCGTATTTGCCTTTACACAAGCAGAAGGCATGATAGGTGAGAGAGACAGGAGCAACACGGGCATTGGTATATAACTGTTCCTCAGGAATTGAAACTCCACCTCTTAAGTCCTTTATGTAATCACTTGAATTGAAAAATGTTGTGACAAAGCCTCCAGAAAAGCTATAAGCCCAATTTCCTTGCGGACTTTCGTAAAATTTTGATAATGAAGAATCATTTTCATAGTTTTGTCTGTCAAATTTCACCGCCTCGCCACCGCGGTTTATAGACAGTAGTGATCTGCAAGAATCATTATTAAGTAATTAATGAATATTTACCAAGTGCAAGACTTGATATTAAGAACAATTCTATGTTTTATTTGAAAGAACTGAACATGAAATAATATTATATCAAAAATGATTTTTATTTTCTTATTTGGTTCACAAAGTATTCAAACATTGAAATATATAGGTTGTAGAGAAGCAAACGTACACTTCACAGGGCATTCTTTTTCTTTTCGATATATGTACTCACTGAAAGACAAACAAATTTATAATGAGAAGTGTGGAGGGGTGTGTATATCTATATAAATGTGTGTGTGTGGAAAACATACCTGTTCGGCTGACTGAATACCCACCGGCAACATGCGATTAGTAGGCAAAAAAGCCAGGTGAGATGGGAAAATTTTACATTGTCCCAAAACAAAAAATTGAGAGCCAAGGCGAGATACGTTTTTAATAAAACTCTTACATAATAATCCAATTTGGGGAATACGTTTTTAATAAAACTCTTACATAATAATCCAATTTGGGGAATGCAAAAGTGTTTCATTTTCATGGTTCACGTTAGGAACATTTCTCAAATCATGGAATGAAAGATCCCTGTAAGGCAACAACGCCGGATTATTAGTGCACTGTAAAGAAAAGAGGAAAACACAATTTAGAAACCGAAATTTTGTTTCTAAAGTTATATCCGCGTATAAATCTATTTAGAAACAGATCCATGTCAATGCTAATTTAGAAACAGAAAATTCGTTTTGTAAATGATATAATTCTAGTACTAGTTTTTGTATTTATTTTTCCATCCGTAACTAAATTCGTTGTCACGTCATATGCCTCTCTAAATTCTTGAGAATTAAAATGCTGAAATTTTCTTTGTAACCAAAAATAAAAAAAAATGCTGAATTTTTCAGGGAGTGGTATAAAAGCATATAAAAAAATAACTAATAATATACTAAATACTCTTATAGTAGTATAAAAGCATGCAACATAAAGTTTTCCTTGAATTTATTATTATTATTTAGAAATATGTCCAGCCAATGTTCAATATTTAGATCTTATAAAAAAAATAGAATAATTAATACTCCAACTGCAGTGAATTTCCCTTAAATATAACAAAATGGTCATTAATTTGATTAAATTATACGCTTTATTTCGTATCATTATTCTAATTTCATAAATTATATTTAATATGAATAAGGATATAACTTTATTAATTATGCGTAGATATACTCAAAACTACATAGCTTTAATAGATCAAGACTATTCTAGATAACTTATATTTATGAACAGATGGAATACAAAGTAAAGATGGTAGACAAAATGTTTTATAAGGAAAAAATTGGAAAAAAATAATTAATATTAATAATTTCATAAAACATAATTTGAAATGAAAAAAAAATTCTAAATTATCACTTTAAAGTGAAAGGGAAAGACTATACACTTTACTATTAATAAAATACATAATAAAAATATTAAGAAAATTTTAGTAATGTGTAATTAGCATTTAATTTTTGAAAACTTCTAAAAAATTTTATTATTTAAATTGACTAAATCACATAATATATGTTTACTATTAAATGTTTTGACTATAATTTAATTAAAAACTAAAATACTTACAATCGCGCGAGTAAACGTGTAATAACTTATCTTAATATAATATACTCCTTCTGTTTCAAAAAATAAGTCATTTAAGGTTATTGCACAAAGATTAAGGAAGCAATTAAATCTCTTAGATTATAACAAACTCAAGAGTAATTTAATCAAATTATTATTTATCTCAAAACTAATAGTTATTTATGAAAGTATATATTATAATTAATCTAGATAAGGGTACCATTAATTGAACAATTCCTAAGTACCCTGCATACGTCATTCAAGAAGTTGATGAATAACTTCATCTGTATGTAAAGCTCTTCAGTGTGCTTTTTATTACTTCTATTTTAATATTCTACTCCTTCCTATTCATTTATTTGAACAAAATTTTTAATCTGAATGTTTGATTTAATTAGACAAACTTACTAAATTTAGACTAAGACCAAAGTATGAAATTCATATTACCCTTTATTTAGCTTTCTTTATTGCATTAATATATGAAAATTACAAGAAAGCAGCAGTCAAAATACACCTAATACAGCCAATCGGGTGGTGATTTTATTGGTCTTCTCACTTATATGAGGAGTAAAAGATATCGAATTTGAGTTCTATCGATCATAGTTGCACTTTTATCTTTTCTTAATAATAAATCTAATTTCTCTTTTGCTGATAAAAAATAAAAAAAAAATTAAAAAAAAAAAAAAAAAAAAAAAAAATTTGCTGAATAAAAAATAAAAAAAAAAATTTAAAAAAAAAAAAAAAAAAAAAAAAAAAAAAAAACACTCACAAAAAAAAAAAAAAAAAAAAAAAAAACACTCACAAAGACTCTAAGTGTGTTAAGTTTGCATGCTGCGGGAACTGCACGCTGAAAAAATCTCGTCTTAGAAAGCTTTAACCAGCTTATTTTGAACTGCTGGCCTCCCTAAGAATAAAAAACAAAAAGAATGAAAGAAAGAAAGAAAGCATTAACCAGAAAACGCCAAAGCTTCAATTGTTTCTTCCAAATGAAATTATGAAAAGAATTAGGTATTCAGTGACTGCACGTACAATGTAAAAAGCTTTGCAAGTTTAAAAATCCCTTCTGATAGATTCCCTTCAAAATTATTTCCCATAAGTTCCCTACAATTTTATAAAAGTACAAACAATATCAGATCAAGATAAATTTTTTTTTCATTTTAAATAATAATATTCAACATTCTGAATCTTTATTTATTTATATTTATTTATATCAAAATAAATTCTTAGAAATACTTACAGATAAGTGAGTGTGATACCTTAGACAAATTTCACATCGGCTAAGCACAAGGTAAAAGTGATGTACTTAAGGTTGGACAGGTCTTAGGATGCCAAGACGTGTTTTGAGCTGACAGGTGGTTCTCTAGCCCAAAAAGAAAACCGTGCAGGCATTGGGCCCAAAGCGGACAGGCCTGGGATGTTATAGTGAGATTCTCCCAATTTGCAATGTAATCCGGTATATTGAATCACAGTTTTGGAACTTAAAATATTTTTACAAATATTTGACATCAAAAGACCCCTTTAAAAAAAATGAGAATAATAATAAAATAAACAACTTTGAACTAAAACAAGCTAAAATTATTTGAATTTTTTAGGAGACAAATTGCCTATTTCTTTTTGGGATGTTCCGAATAAGATAGTTGGATCCCAACGAGCTATAACCATAAAATTTCAGAAGTCGGCAATATAAGCAATATAATTTATAACTCATATATTGATTTGACTAATTTAATATTTAATTATATATTTTAATAGATAAATAATAAAGACATGCTTACTAATAATGACAGGAATTCTTGTGTTTTTATTATTCCCTCCGATTTACTTTTACTTATTGGTTTGTAACTTGAAATGTATTTAGTTTGATTTTTATATTTATTTCTAATTAGGTTTAGATTAGTAATTTTATTCCTAATTAGTTTAAATTTTCTACTCTATAAATACTCCTTTATCCAACATTATAAATAAAGTCTTTCAATTAGAATATTAGAATTTTCTCTTCCATAAAGTTATGTCACTTAAATAAAACTTACAGTGCTGCCAGATTGCTCAATTTTCCAAGACCTGGAGGAAGTGGACCGTTGAGTTCATTTTCATCCAAAAACCTGTTTTTTTTTTTTTTTTTTTTTTTTTTTTTTTTTTTTTTTCAATAAGCTTTAGGATATATTTTTTTTTTTTTTTTTTTTTTTTTCAATAAGCTTAGGATATATTGCATGGAGTTAGAAATAACAAATTAAAAAATTAAAAAAAAAAAAAGCTTCATAGAAAGACCAAAGTTGAGTGAGGTTTCCCAGTTCGTCAGGAATTGGGCCTGATAACATGTTATCGTCAAGAATCCTGCACAGCCGCAATGTATATATATATATAAAATTACAATTATATTGCGCCGGAAAGAAAAGAAAAGAAAAGAAAAGAAAGGAGAAAAAAAGAAAGGAAAAGAAAGGAAAGGGCCTTACAGGTACTGTAGCAATGAGAGGTTACCAAATGCTGCAGGTATTTGCTGATTGAAGAAGTTGAAGCTCAGATCGCTATTGCAGGGAGTTTTTAAACAGCAATTACAAGGTAAATTACGTATGCCAACCCAAATGACTTTTAAAGTCCAAATTTTAAAGACTTATGGCTCAATAAAATTAGAGGTGTCAAAATGGGTTCGCGTCTGATTTGACACGAATCCGCCTACACGCGACACGATTAAAGTCAATATGAATACGATCCGTTTAATAATTGTATCAAATATTTAAATAAAAACACAATCTATTTATGACACGAATCCATTTAAACTCAATACTAATTCGTTTGATTTACAGTGAATCGTGTTCCATATCATAACTCATTTTGACACCCCTGAATAAAACATGAGTTGAATAAATACTCACAGTAGATTCAAATTTTGCAAATTTTCCAAGCCAGTGATTGGAAAGTAATTGTTTAAAAGACGCCTAATTTTGCACAATTCTCAACTCAATATAATTACACAGTAAAATTAAATGTGTACACATGCCTTGAAAAAAAGAAAAACGCATACACACGTTTTCTTTTAAAAAAGAAAAGAAAAAATGGATGCACTAATTACGCGTCTCTCATTCCCTATAAATAGAGGCAGCTGCAGCTCACAAAACACACAGCAGAAAGAAAGGAAAAAAAAATGTAGAAAGGGAGTCATCTAGTTTTAGGAAGGGTTTACTACAACTAGGAGAGAGAGAAAAATAGTGAGGAAATTATTTTTGCGTTGTTTTTGGAAAACACTTTGAGTGCCACTATTTTTGTAATAGTGGAAGAATTATTCAGAGTTAAGGGTAAACCACTTAAATTTCTATGTGTCATAATTTTGATTATCCCGCTGCGTAATTATTCTCATAATTTTATTGTCGAGGCCCTAATAAGTGGTATCAGAGATTTTGCGACAGTCAAAGCCCCATTCACCTTGGAAAGACTTCCTCCTTCCATTCATGATCAATACACATTGATATTAGGGATGTGTTGAAGATGAAGATGTTACAGCTTGAGAATATCCATACATAAGAAAATGGATCAGACATATTCTTTCAAAGGAGAAGTTCGAATACTGTCGATTAGCTGTAGGGATGATGATGGCTAATGTTTCTACTTAATGTGCAGGGGAGAATTGTTATGCGATGCCCACTTAAGTGGGATCCACATACTTTGAAAAAAAGAAAAACGTGCACACACTTTTCTCCTTTTCAAAGCATGTGGGTCCCACTTAAATGGCCACAACACAACATACCCTTATGTATATAGCAATATTAGCCTTTATAATCAGATAATATGCTAAGACATTCAAAGGATGCATGGCTGGCCTAGATTACAAGCGGAGTTTAGGCACCATGCAGGTGTCAAAGGCTACGAAGCCTTAGACCACATCAGTATCAGTTAGAAGAAGGTTATGATCTTTGCAGGTTGAAACAAGCAAAAGAAGGGATTTTGATCACCTCGGATCGATGCCAAAAAAAGGTGTTTCCAGCTGTACTTCATCAGATGCCAAAAAAAGGTGTTTCCAGCTGTACTTCATCACCGAGGGGAAGGAGATAATTAGCCCACAAACGTTCTAGGCGCGTGCTTTTGGAGCCAACGTCTTCTGAGCGGGCGATTGGTGTTGTCTCGAGCTTTCATCCTTGGGAAAGAGAGGTAGTTTGAATGTCACTGTCCAGTACGAGAGCTTTGATCCTGCATTAGTTCTGCTCGAGCCTGAGTTTCAACTCGTCAGCTACTTTGACAGATAGGGGTTGCAACGACCAGTGCTGTGGTCTTTCGCCCCGACATGCATGAGCTTTGACTCCTACCATTCCGGGCTCAAATGAACTAACCATCTTCTCTTTCTTGTTCCGCTCCCTCCACACCCGCATTCCATTCCTCCGCACCATTCCGGGCTCAAATGAACTAACCATCTTCTCTTTCTTGTTCCGCTCCCTCCACACCCGCATTCCATTCCTCCGCCTTAGGCCTTGTAGTGTCTGCTGGTATGTAGCTGCCTGGCTCTCCTGGTCCCATCCCTCGTCAGAAGGAGCCATATACTCCACCCAAACCCTCTCCATCTCTATACATTTCTCACGATCCATCTATCCAAGAAGAGCTCCAGTATAAAGATCTTCATTCATGCGTAACCCAAGTGTATATCACCACTGATAAACACCAGACTAAGCGATATTGACTGGACTGGTAGCAATACCAAACCAAATACGACTGAGTAGTGGGGTCCTTGGAAATCGTAATGCCATAATGCCTTTCAAATCCTCATACATGACATTTGAGAAAAAAAATAATAAAACAATAATTTTTTTTAGAAAGCCTTTGTTTTTTTATCGGCTTGGTATTTAGGAGCGAAGCTAGATCCAAAATTAAAGGGGTCAAAGAAAAATTTTCAAAATTAAAAGGAGCCAAAATCAAAGAAAAAATCTTTTTGGACTATTTTATAGAGAAAATTAAAAAAAAAAAATGGAGTTTGGGGGGCCAGGCTCCCCTCAGTCCTCTCCCTCCGCCTGTGTTTGTATATAGAACCACCCACACGCTGGATGTAGACAAGTCTATAATTGACAATATATCTCAGAATTTGGAGATACATACATTTCAGTTATGTGGCAAGTGATGTTGCTCTTGTTATCCTTGAAAATACAATCACATCTTATTTCAGCACCAGGCTCCAGATTGCTGCTGTTTTGACAGTGTAAAGCATCGAAGTGAGATGCTGAAGGAAACCTGTTTATGAAAGTTCTAATGGCATCCACAGTCAAGAAAAAGAAAAATCTGGTTAAGCCAAGCATTACATCAAAGCAAACGGAACTTAATTAATTCAAATACAGAATAATGAAATGGTTAGCTAGCTAGGAGTAGAATATTATATGCATGCAAGTTTGGTTTCGATTCCTGAAAGAAATGAAAAAAGTTAAATGGAATTGAGAATTGTGCTTTTAGTTGCAGAAGTTTACACTCATAGCAAGGCAGAGTTTGATTTCCGTCACATTCTATTTCAGATTTTTCTGTAGAAAGCACACCATAAGAACAAATTACTACAGATGGGAGTTAAAAGAAAACAGAAATGGTTATTTAGCTAGTAGGAGCTAATTCTTGAAAAAAAAAATTGAAACTTGAAAATTGTGCTCATAGAAGTTTACCCATTTTACAATCAGGATTATACATAGGACATTGACAATTAGAGCTGTATCGGCCAGGACTTCAGACATGAGAATCTCCATAAACAATTTTCCGATGGAGAAGGAAAGTAAGGATGGGGATAAGTATAGCCATAACTGAAAGTTTCCTACTTTAACCAATTAACGCAATTCTACTTTAACTTAAATATTAATATTAATAATTTATTAAAGATAATTTTCAAACATGATGATTAAAGGTTGATAATTAGTCAACGAGTGCATGATTCACTGCATAAAAAAGATTAGGAGTTTTAATCATAATTGTATCCTTTTTTTTAAGAAATTTATCATGTAAGCAAAAAAAAAAAAAAAGCATTTAATTTTAAATATAAAATAAATAAAAGTGTGACTCATCAAGGCTTTTATTATAATTCAAAATTCAAAATTCTATGTACCCTTTGCATACCATTTCAACATACTATCTTGCTATGCAGGCCGTACAGTTAATGAAAGGGCTTATAATTTAATTGTTGAGTATATAACAAACATTAGCTGAACTAAATATCATTTAAAATTATAATTCATTTCCAAATCAGGTATTATCACAGTTTGATTCTACATTAAAATCGAACCAATCGAAATCAGGACTAAATTGTGGTCAATGGTTTTCAATTTTAAATCGTAACCAAAACTATATTTGCTTACAGTTGGCTTTGGAGTACATGCCTCACTGTGGGGTTCTAACCATTAATAGTCGTTCCAGCAGGCAACAACTTTTTTTTTCAATTTTTTTATGAAATTCCTAAATTACCCCTCCTAACAGTTATAAACGGCTACATAACGGCTAGTTTTAAGAGTATTTGTGGAAAATTGATTTTTTGAATTTATTATAAATACCTCATTCCATTTACAATTTCCTCACACAAAATGGCTTTTGGAGTACAGTTGCCTCACTGTGGGGTTCTAACCATTAATAGTCGGTGTCCACCAGATGCCAGCACGGCAAACAACTGTTTTTTTTCAAAATTTTTTTTATGAAATTCCTAAAATACCCCTCGGCTAAACAGTTATAAACGGCTACATAAAACGCTATTTTTAAGAGTATGTTGGTGGAAATTGATTTTTTTGAAATTTGATTATAAATACCTCACATTCCATTTACAAATTTGCCTCACACAAAATTAATATCTCTAACTCTCTCTATCTATATTTATTCTTCTCTACTTCTACTTTACAATCTCTCTAATTTTCATTCATAATTTATTGTCCAATATATTGCAAGATAATTTCTTCAAAGTCAAATCTCCAATTATTTGTCCAAAATATTGTGAATTAATTTTTCAAATTCTAATCTCTAATTATTCTTTCTAATTTTTTTTTTGTTCTATTTTCCAAATTACATATTATTTTCATATAATGGCAAATGGAGGAAACTCAAGATCCACTAAGGGCAACGAAAGGATTGGAGAAATACAATATTCATCTATCCC